GAATGGAGACTGCATGGTGACTATGAGTTTCACGCCTCAGTGCGATCTTCAGAATATTACACTGAGGCGTGAAATTAGATTGAAACTAATTTTATTGACAGTGTGTTGCTTTTTTAAAACGTAATGTGGTCCAAAATATGTAATCGTCTTTTACATTAGTCGACGAAATTATGACGGAAATCAGAAGAGTCACCGTTGATTTGTGTTAGATGTTTACATATTGCACATTGCTCAGAAGGATGACAAGTCAATACCCTCGAGAGAAAGGCTGTAGTATAACCAATCTAATTTGATATTTCAATTTTGATACCACAAAAAATACACAATCTGTTAAAGATCAGGAAACTTGGTATACAACATTGGGTTTCCCATTAAATGCACACACGCAAAAAACACCTAAGCATATATATATATATATATATATATATATATATATAAGGTGTGTGTGTGTGTGTGTGTTTTGCAGGTATGTAGAAAAATAGGAAAGAAGACGTTAGGTAAGTAGTCCTGGGTTCTTTAGTATTTTTGTTTTTAAAAGACAGTGCTCCATACACAAGTAGAGCTTATATTATAAATATATATATATACAAATTATAATTTTTTAAAAATATTATTCCTTGCGAAGGAATCATATTTTAAAAAATAATTATATATATATATATATATATATATATATATATATATATATATATATAAATATATATATATATATGAGGGTTTTCATCAAAAATTTTGACATCAATGCAGATGTGATCCATCATTAGAAAGAAAAGAAGTCAAATGGAAAACAAGGTGAAAGTTTTAATTCAAAGTTATATTTTCGTAAACTATTCCCTTGACATCAATGCAGATGTGATCCCATCATTGTTTCCAAAATGGAATGTCGCGATGTGATTGCTTCCTTTAGTTTTCTTAATTCTGATGCATAGTACTGTCCATTAATGTTTTTCCCTTTTCCAGGAAGTCTATGATGATTACACCTTCAGTATCCGAAGCAAAACCAGATGCAATCACCTTACTTACAGACACAGCATGCTTGAACTTCATAAAAGGGTGAAGAACCAGAGTGTTTCTACTGTTTGATTTGAATCTTTGATAAATTTCGAGGTGGTGAACCCAGGTCTCATTTTGAGTTCCTAGTCTTCATTGGAAATTCCCAGGGTAAGCTAGGAAGTGAATCAGAAGTGTCCTGGAAAGGTCTACAATTTTTAGCTTCTGCTCTGGTGAAAACATTCTTGGGAAGCATCTTGAAGATAATTTGCTCATCGCAAAAATCTCAGTTAAAACATTACGGACCGAACCAGAACGAATCCCAAAGGATTTAGCTATCTGCAAGATAGAAAACTGTAATCCATAATTATATGTTGAATGTCATGAATTTCTTCATCAATACTTGAGGTTTTGAACGTCCTGTCATATTCTGTATTGTCCTTGCTCCGCTTAAATCCGGCAGCCCGCTTCTTCACAGTTGCATAGGAAGGAAAGTCCTTAATAATTGTCTGTACCATGTCTCCATGGATTGCCTTGGGTGTCATAGATTTTTGCAGATAATTTATGGCTGCTTGGGCCACGGTTTTGCCATTTTTAGATTTTTGGCACAGTTCTCACCTTTGTATAAGCCTCACCTGCACAGAAATTAAGAGAGAAATATGAATTAGTTTTTCTAGTTTTATAAGAAACAGTAGTCTGTTGCCACAACAAAACTAGTCAGCTGTATGTCATGTTTCTGGGTGAGGCTTTATATATATATATATATATATATATATATATATATATATATATATATATATATATATATACCCTTTCAGAAAAATAAAAAAATAAAATAAATAAATCTCCATAGACATTTAACCAGACTAGACGATGTCATCTTCCGCTTTAAATTTAGACACCCCAACCTTACCCCTGACTTGACATCTGTGAATATAACTGAGATATTGATACAAATTATTAACCCTTACGCCCCTTTTCTTTAAACAATTGCTCTAACCGTTACCATAGTAATCTTAATTTCGATAATAAATATGCTTATAAAACGCGTACATTTCAGGAATAAGTTTTTCCAGTAAAAATTTCGCTTGAAGCTGGAACAGAGCTTAGTACTTTACTTCAATTTAATTCAAATAATTATATTGAAGTTTTCGGCCCTTGTTTTGAAACATGAGAACTCTCGTCGCGTTGGAATCATATTTTTAAATAAATAATTATATATATATATATATATATATATATATATATATATATATATATATATATATAAAGTGTATATGTATATAGCAGCAAATTATTAAAGTGCATATAACATTTAAATATTTAAATACTAATGCCATTTTGCATTCCCATTCAGCTTCCTTATATTGAAACGCTTGTTTTGTGAAAAAACAAAAGCTGCCATAACAAGAACGGATAAATTTTAAAATACCAAAATAACTATAACAGAGCGGGTTCTCATGTCTATTTTAAAATCACTATGACAAAGGAATACAGATTTTATCACAGCTACAATAGCCTGCTTGTTATTGTAATTTACTCATGAAGATGATCTTAATAAATATCGAATGTACTTGGGTTTAAAAATACTGTGCATTCCTTGATCAATTTCATGTCTACATCAAGAAACTGATCAGACAACCGAAAATGATCTGTATAAAAATAAATAGACACGATATATCTGTATATATATGCTGACTAAACATATATATAAATATATATATATATATATATATATATATATATATATATATATATATATATATATAGTAAGAGAGAGAGAAAAAGAAATAAAGTTGACAAAGAAAAAATGTTGACAAAGAAATTAATATTTGATGATCGCTTCATGCAGATTTGATTTCTATATAAACACTTTATCCATATAAACGCAATATCCATGATATTGAGCACTCATATATATATATATATATATATATGTGTGTGTGTGTGTGTGTGTGTGTGTGTGTGTGTGTGTGTGTGTGTGTGCATATGTATAGTGCATGTCAACAATGTTTTATACTGAATAGAGAATTGAGTCACTTTTACTGAGCTCAGCGCGAGGATTACAAATCCTTCAGCTGTGGCGCTTGAACAGATTTGTACTGCCGCTTCCACATCCTTTTTTCCTCATACGGACCTGTCTCTCAGTCTGGTCAGATTACGCCTACTATAATTAGGGATGTGCATGGCTGAAAACTCTTTTTCACTTTGTCTTATTAGTGTGCTAATAAGCGTGTATATGTGAGAATGGGTGCAATAAATAATAAGAAGAATAGTAATAATGAAGATAAAAATAGATACAGGTAGTAGCGATAATAGATGTTAGCAGTAGCATCAATAAAAATAATGGTATTCTTATTGAAAAAGAGAAAAGTAAAAATCTATATCTTCCATAATGTTATCTTTATGGTTATCCGATTTTAAATTATTTTAAATGTAAAAGCCCAATATCCACTTTCTAGAAAGGCGTCAAGAAAACCTCAATAAAAGAGTGAGAGAGTGGTGCATTAACATTCTCTCTTATGCTATACTATTTTAAATGATGTGTATTGTGTGGGACTGTTCTACTAATATGTAATTACCTTGACAGAAGCGCGTAGTAAACTGGGTAGTGTTTTTTTTTTCTTTCTTTTTTTTGTCATTTAAAACCTGCGCCCTAGATTCTAAATTAACTATTAAGTTTTGGAGAAAATGAAAAAGCCTGCACGTAATTTAAACCATTCTCTGGGATTTCCGTTCTTAAAAATGATAGGAAACGTTAGGAAAAAAAATATTGGTCTCTGGCAAATTTCAACTTGAACAAAAAAAGGTTTTCGCTTCAGCGTAATTTCCTCCAAGTTCATATGATTACACAAACCCCGAAGGAACATTTAAAATTCTTATATTAAATTTCCTTTCACTCACTCAGGTTCCAAATCAAATAAAAGTTTCTGATAAGTGATTTTCAGGGAGCTTTATGTCTCCAAATGTTTCGTAAAGCAATCCTCATAGCTGTCAAGGTTTAGCATTCGGAAATAGATTTTATATAGCTTTTCAAAAAAATAAAATAAAATAAAAAATAAATGTTATCTATTCTCCTTATGTTATATAATCTACTATATATATATGATATCTTTGCTGTTCACTCCAGTTTTTATGAGTTAATGACAATGCGCTTTTATCTAATTCCAAGTAGAAAGTTTTCTACTCACGAATATTTTCTAAATTATTATCATAATTAATATATATGCAAAGGTTCCCAGAACACTTTCGGAAAACTCATAGGTAGTTAAACACCGATTTCATACTGGAAACATTTTTACACTTTCAGTAAAAATCCCAAGCCATTAAATACTTTTATTCAGTTAAAGAAACAAACATTACCTTGATAAATTGCAACTTCCTATGAATGAGCACCTGTACCAAGAATAAACTGATCTACGAATTTACAACTTGAGACATTACTTTTAAATTATAGAATACGAAAAAGTAGTTACATTTTTAAGAAAAAAATAACATCGTAGGTTTAATTTCACAAAGAAAAATATATATTTCCCCAAGAGAATTAAATCACTTTTATTCGCATGATACTAAAATAGAAGTTTTTTTTTGTACTAAAAAGAGCTCTGTCGAATGAGAAAATTTGGTTTCCGAACTATTTTATTTTGTAAAATTAAGGATTCACATTTCAGCGAAAAAGTAGAGTTCAAGATTTTCTTAGATAGTGAAATGTTTGTTAAATCTTTGTGCTAATGATGAAAATGAAAAGAAAATGGTTAATTTGTATGTAGATAATAATGCAACGTTCAAGTTTTTTTTAGTATCTAGTTTTTCTTTTTCTTTTCTCCTGGTACATTTAAGAACAACGTTAAGATGAACAGATATACGAATGGAACTGAACATATATCTCATAAGATATTCTGCAAGTAGAAAAACTATGGAAAATAAAGGGACACAAAAAAAGAAAGGTCTGATACGAACAATAGAGAAGGAAGGAATATGAAAAATGAGTAAGGAACTCTAAAAAAAAATCAAAGAAAGAAATAAAAAAAGAAAGAAAGAGAAAAGAAAGAAAGAAAAAAAAGAAAGAAAGAAAAAAGCAGTAGGAAGGATAACGAACGTAAAATAAGAAAAAATAAAGAAAAAGAAAGAAAGCAGTAGGAATGAATAACGAAAAGTAAAATAAGAAGAAAGAAATAAACAAATAAAAAAGAAAGAAAGAAAGAATGCAGGAGGAAGGAATAATGGACGTAAAATAAGAAGAAAGAGAGAAAGAAAGAAAGAAAGAAAGGATGTAAATCACAAAAAAAATAAAGATTAATATGGAAAAATACAGAACTGAGACTTTCACAATGATAGAAAAATAAATGAACAAAAATCAGTAAAAGTTTTAAATGAAAGAATGTCTAAATGGCGGATCAAAAACTGGAAGAGAAACAAAAAAAAACGTTAGCGAAAGATATTAAATAAAGACTCTTGAAACAATGTTAAGTAAAACGCGAGTTGTTAATATGAGTAATATAAAATTCATGTAAGAATTGTAAGACGATGTCAAATATAAGAAAGCGTTCTTTCAAGAAAGTCGATCAAAACACAAAGGCGCGATAAACGAATCCTCTTTCTCGTCGAGTACAAAGGTGAAAACTGATAAAAGAAAATCTCGCGAGAAAGCAAAAAATGAAAAGCTAAAAAAAACATGTCGTTGTTCACGCTGATATGTCATTGTCTTTACATTTATTTTCTATCTTTTGCTAAATCTTTTTCTTCCGTAATTTTCAGTGATACTAAAAGTGATATTGATTTTTTACCATTCATGATTTAAACAATAGAATTAACAGGGAAAAAATGCAGCCTGGAATCTGCTTAAAATGCACATTGTACAGTTTTTTTTTATTCGAAATCTTTCGACAAAACGCAACCAACTCGCCATTATCACCTTCAAAAATAAAATTCACTCGTCTGTAACACGCAAATGCTTATGAGAAGAGTAAATTTTATTTTATAGATGCTTCAAATGTATATTAATTTTCGCCAAAGTTCTGAACTGAACTATTCTTAGACGCAACATTTCCTGATAGTAAATTCTTGGAGTGTATAGTAAAATATGTAATAACCAAATTAAATTCAGTCAGTTAAATGCTAAGCGTGATACACGATTAGGTGATCATGTATCTTTCGATACATGACTGACGAGGCGATTTTTTCCCGCAGTAGGTTGCCATTTCCTTCTGCGGTAGACCAGTTGCTATCCAACTCTGTCTGTCCTGCTATTTACCCATAGCTAGGGCGATAAGAAAAGGATTCATACTTTTCCCAAGGGTATTAGCACGTAAGTGAATGCAATGGATTCAACAGAATTCGAGGCGCTATCCATTACTCCACCGTGCCTACTCAAAAATTAAATTACTAATTCTGCTGTTGAGAACGACGACATATATTCTTTTCTTTTATATGTTATCTTTCAGGGGATGAATGATCATGGCTCTCTACGACTTCCTGTCTTGTTCGAAGTAACTTTTTCGGGTTTACAATTCCTCTTCGTCCTTATTTTAATCAATTAAACCATTTAAGTTGATTATTTGCCTCTTCCATTGATTTTCCTGTCTTCAATATGTCATATCATTGTTAAAATTTGCAGGTTTTCTTTCCTCGTTTTGTATCAGAAAATATCACAAGAATTTCAAGTCTTTCTCATTGTAAGTATCAATTCCTATGTAGTTCTTCTTTTCCGTAAGACATAAACGTTGCTCACAATATCAATAGTATTCTCAAGAGTCACCGTTAGCATTCTTTATCGCTTCCCGTTTGTTCTTCATCTGTGAAGAGATTCTATAACAGACACTGCTTTATAGAATACTAGCAGCATGGCACGGCAATGCCTGTGCTTGATTCAAAAATCGTACGACTCATACAGCAATCGCTATGACTGGACTTAAAATATTTTTGCCGTTTTCTTGCCTTTAAAGGAGTGCCCTTTGCCGTGCTGATGTTGCTAAATGCCTTACTTCTTGCCTATCTCACACTGCGAATTTTTTCTAAGCTCTATATTAAACATTAAATCTGTTACGAAAATAGAACTAAACAAAATTTCACGGTAAGTCCTCCGACAAGCTATTTTCGCTAGTTCTCAAACTGCATTAATTTAAATGTGCCAGTAGGTCGGCATCTCAGTCCCACCCTTTCACTCTTGAAACAGTTAAATATATCCGTCTCTTCTACTACAATAGCTTCATGTCTTGCACTTCCCGTCTTTGGAACTCTCGTCCTCTTACTTGCTTCCCTGATAGCTATAATTTCCAACTATTCAAATGTAATGTCAATCGATATCTCCAGATGCCTTTCCTTCATCCTTTCCTCTTTCACGCCTCTTTAATCTTGATCCCACTTTCTTTAACCTCTTGCGTGCTAGTGGCACTCCCGCCTTGCTCGGGGTGAAAAGTTAAAAAAAAAACACATCACGCTGAAATACAGGTTCCCGTACTATCACCGAAGTTAAGCAACGTAGAGCCTGATCAGTACTTAGATGGGTGAAAGCTTAGTTATACCATGTGTTTTAAGCTTAGATGTGCCGGGATAGTAATAGGTAATGGCTCGGGATTGTTAGTCGTTGATGTATTTATATTCGCTTGCACGCAATTACCCCTGGGAAAGGTATGAATCTACGTCTTCTGCCCCCACACTCAACTATTGGTTAATTAGTAAGAATTTTATAATTAAACCATTATTATCCCCCCACCTAAAAAATCTTACAATCTAAAAATATTTTGTGGCTTTAAATAACCTGCAAAGGGTTGATAAACCGTAAAAATCTAATCACTCAACGCCTTTCAGCGTTGTATGGCCGTAAAAGCCCTCAGATATAAAGCGCCTTTCACATTAATTTCGTAGTGCTATTCTTTCGGACATCTCAATACTTCGTTCATTCTCAATGGTTCTCTATTCTATCCAACAAAAATCAAATCAGATTTGTCAACGGCACTTATTCACCTCATGGCTCTGTCACCTTTCACAGTTTGCCCACTACTCAGGTAGGATGTTTATATTTAACAATGTTTTCTTTTCTTTTGTCATTGTTCTGCAGCTCGTTGACACAGCGTATTCTATAAGCAGAGAGACTTTCTTTTTATCATTTATATCAGATCTTTTTTGTCTTTCGCATCTTAGGCTATGCTTTTTATTTATATTTTAAGACAACATCTAATCTTTGCTCACCTAACCCTAGTCGTTTTTCTAATTCGTAACATAACATTGTTCCTACAATATCATGTTTGCTTGTCTATGACGCATAAGCAAATTTTCTATATTTACTTAAGATGTTGATTACAATCTGGCCTTCCTTAAAAAAGGGGGAATTTGTATGGATTCCTTCTTTGTTCTGATGCAATTGACTGTGATATAATTGATGCACTCCATTTGTGCTGCAATGATATGAAATTTCGTTTCTCTTTTTAGGTGACTTCAATATAATCATGTCGATGAGAGATCGTCTGTGATAAGATTTGTCCTTTATTTCTTACATGTTACCATATCTGTAGCCCTTTTATTACTTGTTATACCGTTCTGCACAGATTTTATATTGCCAGTGTTCTGCTGGAGGCATTTTTCAAATCGTATTTTAATCGTCTGAATACATTTCTTAATAGTGATGATTTATCTTACGCTTTCAATTCTTTTTAAATATATTAAATGACCAAGTAGAGGCATGAATATGTACTCGATCGAGTGACTGATTTACGTCAAACAAATGGAAGCTTTCGAGTACTTCAATATTGTTTCTGTCTTTGTTCGCCCCTTTTATCAAAATTCTGCTCTTGATTTTAATGTCTAACGTCTGTATTATTCTCCTCGTATATTTCAGTATAATTTACTCTTTCATTTCCTCTTGTTTTATAGATTTGAGTTCTCGCAATCCAAGTTATTCATTTGTTTTTAATATCCGAATTGATTTGTCTATATTTCTGAGATGAGGTGTTATGTACATTATTTACATTGCTCGGACTATCATCCTCATCTTTGTTGCCATATTTATCACAACTTTTTGGCCTTTGTACGTTCCGGCCTTCTTCAGGTAAAACCCCGATAGAGAACATGACTAAAGACTGTGTACTCCATACCGTGCAGCTGCGGAAAGAAATATAAAGGGGAGACAGGTCGCCCCCTTAAGGCAAGACTTCAAGAACACCAAAGCTGTAACACGAAGGAAGTGGAAAAGAAAATCACCGTTCTCTGTGGGATCAGGTTGAAATCATAGACATAGAAGATCATTGGAAAATTCGTAAACTTTAGGAATCAGCACACATGCTAGGCCACAAGCACAGAAATGAATACAATATGGAAACCAGTAATATGGAGTGCCAGAGAAAAGCAATAATAACGAAAATTGCAATATGAGCTCTGGTAAAAACCATGCAAAGATAACAGTAAAAATTGCAATATAAGCACTGGTAAAAAAAATTATTGCTGAAGACATTAGGTTTATAATACTCAGAAATTCATACATAGATGTCTTCATGGACACATAGCACAGTGGATAAAGCCGTTAGTTAGATCCAGTGATAGGACCCAAAAAGTGTGAGTTCAATACCTGGTTAAGACGGTGCAGAACTTGGTGAGGGGAATTAACAGGATATAACTGATAACTGACATCCATTAGACAGTCTACCTCAGCGAGCGAAAGAAAGGGTTCAGTTCGACATTCCAATCACCTGAAGAAAGCCGGAGCGTACAAGGACCAAAACGTTATGATAAATATGGCAACACAGATGAGGATGATAGTCCGAGCAATGTAAACAGTGTACTGAATTGACTTTTTACTTGTTTATTTAAAGATTGGGACTGGTCCGCTTTGGCTTTTAAAATTCTAAAATAGTCCACTTCCTATTAATTCGGAAATATGTACTTTGTTTGAAGGTCGTTTTGAAGAGGCTCACTCCCAGATCCTTTCACACGAACGCGGGTGTCACCATAGGCCCTATCCTGGGTCGTAAGCTGTTTCAGATCTTTATCAGTGGTCTTCCTGGCGTTATCAGTTCTCAAGCAGGTATTTATGCTGATGGCATTTAGTCCTGCAAATACCCCAGAACTGACAAAATTAATCTGACCGCTGCTGTTTAAAAGAACTTCCAGTCAGTGATTAACTGTGGCAGCAAATGGTTATTAAATTTTAAAGCCTACAAAACGAAACTGCTGTCATTTAACCAGCATAAAGAAACTTCCCAGCGCGTCATCAGCATGGATGATACTCGACTCCTGGTGAGCGTCACACTGTCCCTTCCTTACCTCACAACTACATAGCTGCATCTATACCAAGGAACGTTGGGTCACTGTGTCGTGCGACTAGGTTTTTCTCGTCAGAGTTCATCAGGTACATTTACAACTCTGCCATTCGGCCGTGCATTGAATAATC